CTCTAGCATCATTATCTGTGGCCTTTATTATGTCTTGTGGATTTATGTCTTGCCCAAATATGGCAAATATCAAATTCGGTCGGAAATGGTAGCCCTCGAGGACGGCGCAGCTAAGACTCATCGCCTAGTCAAGGTAAAGAACGAGGATGTGGAAGAATGGGATAATGTACATGATGAAGCTGGACATTTGCGACAGAGGACTACTACTCATCGAGACGATAAGGCTGTGGAGGAATGATCAAACTATCTTGTCTTTCTTGTACTATTGCAGATACAACTGGCATCATATTTGGCAAGTGCTATTTCAAGAATTAGCTCGCTCCGATATTTGAGCATGTCAATATATCACGCCACGATTTGAAAAGAATACTATCCACATTCACATTATTCCTGCTCTCCTCGCTCAAAGCTTGAGAGGATAATGTGAAGGTCTTCAATATCAGTATGGTATTATGTTATCCAGAGGCTCTTAGTAAGAATTTCCTCGTTTTATTGGTTTGAGAACTCTTATTTCTCACTAGGCTTATGACTTGCACCTATCGAGGAACTTATTAATCGAGACTCCAAACGCCGAGTCTTGGACGCCGGCTGCCTGTATACTTTCCTTAATTCCATGTGGCTCTTGAAAGTTTCACTTGCACAACAACCAGGTATATTTGTGTAATAATCGTGGAGCTCGGGACTAACGATGAGCTTGGAACTACCTCTAGATCCAAAGATCCTTGAAACAAACTGCCCAACTTTAAGCTCGCAATTCTGTGACCCCTGTGACCCCTATCCAAATCCAAAACGAGACGAGGTGGCCTTTCCAACGCGCAAGTACCGCCGAATTGAGTAGCTCCAATATAGGATTGGCCCAGAAATGTACCAGTATGCCGCTAGCGCTCTGGATTAACCGGTGTAATCACAGTAAACCTCATTACTCCCGGAAACTCCACACGAAGTCAAGACCTTGCTGTTCTGCTTAATATCCATGATTGTTGATCCTGAAACCCCAACAGTTGTGCCGCTGGTTGTGGTAGCCGAGGCACCGGTGAAAACAAACTCCCCAAAATTAGCAAAGGGAACAAGGCTGTTGCCAGACGAAAAGTCTTCAACAATCCATTCTGCATTGTATTCACACAGCTTGTTTGATTCTCCGCTGAATGAATGACTGACAGATTTCCCAGTTGACAGATTCTTAATGGTTGCCGAGCCAGCACTGCTGGATGTTGCCTTGACGGTGATCTGGACAGAGTCCCCAGCTGATAGAGAGAAGCCGGAAAAGGTATATGAATCTTTTTCGGGGAAAGCTCAAGTCAGAATTTTATCAATTTATAGTTGCACGGGGACCATGACTTACAGTCTGGATACCACTCGTACCAAGCCTCATAGACGTATGAGCTTCCCTGGATACCGACATCAATCCCTGTTTGGAGGATTGCGGTATCACAAGTATCTCCATCGATACCAACCCAAGCAGAGGCATAGTAGGTGGTACTAGAGGAACCACCTGATGGAATGCTGGGCTTTGGAACATTGATAGTAGCCGTGACAGAGTTATATCCTGTTCCTATGAGCACGGCTCCAGCCCAATTGCTAGAATACTCTACATGGGTGGAGTTGTCTGGCTCTTCAAAATCTGTAGAGTCAATAACGGGAGACTTGGGTAGGGATTGTCGAGGGTTGCCGGCTCGTTCAGTTATCCTTTCGAGATTTCGGGCACGCCGTGTAGCTGTGCCCATAGCTGCAAGAGAGCCAGAAGCAAAAAGTAGGGTTAGTGCGATGCTTGGAAACTTCATGATGTCTTTGAAACAGGCTAGAACAATGTTTGTATTCGGGAAAGTGATGGTGGTGGAAATTTACGATAGAATAGGTCGAAAGGGCCGGTATTTATATCCATTCTCCTAATCACTTGTTCCATGAAAAGCCGATCGTCATCGAGGGTTGATATCACGAGTTCGAGGCTGAAATCAGGTTCTCCCAAAAGTTCAATTCCTACCTTCCTCTTATGATGGTATCTCCGTGGGTTCTGCATCTTTATATGAGTATAATCCACTTGGTTTGAGGGGGTGTGAGTTGTGACAGTCCATTCCACCACCTTTTCCGGCCTGGCCATGCCGAGAACCTTCGATGCTTCATCAAAGTCTCAACCCCAACCCAGATTCAACGCATGCCAATGATCTTGTAAAACGTATTAATTTGTGTTGGTCAGTCTTGCTACTGTTTAAAATATGAATAATATACTAGATTAACTCTGTTCTTCAAATGTATCTGAACCGAAAATAAGCGACAGCTTTTATATGTGAGCTCATTTATCAAAGTAGATGGATTTCTCGGCACATGTGGTGCCGACAAGTACCCAAATCCCTGCCTAGCTGCCTTGCCAATGCGGGAGACCGCCGTCAACTCTCATTGTAGATAAGAGTTAGAATATAATTGGCTATTCTCATCTATGGGTCTAACTTGAGCCGTAATGAAATCTGTTATGCTGTGTATTTCCTCATATGTGAGGTTAGGATTGCTGAGAATATCTACCCTTGCCTAATGAGCTACTAGGGACACATATATGTATTCTTAAGTCACAGTCAACTACCTAATAGAGAGGATTTGGATTCGTTTCCCTGGACAGGAGTCGCGTGGAGAAGAACTATGCCACAAGTGTTGGATAAAGGAAGCCCAAAACATGGCTAAGCCTAGCATACCTAATGGAATATTGGATTTTGCGCACTTTACGGAAAGAAGGGGTCACTAGCGACTAAATCTTATGTTACTTCCTCACCAAGTCTAGGTATAGATGTGGGCGGAAAGAGGGCGAAGAGGATATTGCCGAAATCTGTAGGAATCTCGACCGCGCTAGGCTATGCGATGCCGCAGAGAAGAGTTCGAGTGCTACAGCTCTTATTAATTCTTGTTGGGCACTTTCGCATCCGCGATTGCCGATCTAAACACCCTCATCTCGACAAGTGCAGCGGTTATCAACCTGCGGGACCCTCTTATCCGTTGCTGTCAGGGTGACATGCGTGCTCATTTTGGAAGGTGGGCGGGAATCGGCATCATCAATCACAGGGTTCACTAATGGTGGGTTCTAGATGGCATGATCCTACAAGCCACGAGATAATACATCCTGGGGTAGAGATGTCAGGTAGGAGGAACTGAAGAAAAACGGCGGACCTAGGATTCAAAGAGGCAGCTGTGTCTGGATAGTTATTCTAAGGAACCAGCTTGACTAAGTTAGAATTCAAAAGTATTTCACTATGAGATTTTTCATTGCTGTATTCTTCAACGTCCCCGGCTTCTTGGTGCATTGTGGCGCCAGTTCTTGGGATGTCGGGGGAACTTTTTTGTGGCTCTCTTGTGGTTCTTTTGGATGGATTCTAGAAAGACGAAACAGCTTGTCCCGTTCCACTGCCCGTATATATTATGGCTGGATGGCTCATTCCTCCAGAGTGGCGTTTAACCTCTAGTTTTGGCTTGGGTAGGGCTGGTTTTATACTGACAATTATTCCGAAGCTAGTGAAGATCACGGGTCGTTAGCTTGGGCTAGTTTCTAAGAGCCGTTACCTGTTCTCTTGATCGCCCTAAGCTACTGTTTGCTGCACTCTGTTTTGCCTGTCGAATGTTTGTTCCACTAACTTAGTGACTGTAGCATACACCAAGTGACAACATTCAAGTTCACAGCTAGCAGGCCGCCGTGGTTTAGCCCATGTCCGGAAATCTCGTCCAGCCAAGACCCTCTTGTTCACGTTCCATCGCTGCAAAGTCCTGGCGGCGCTCCTTGCCACTGCTCACTCTCGCCAGGCGAGTCCATCAATATGGTTGGAGCGGCAGTCACCGCAGACAGGCAGAAGAGGCCCCAACTTCCGCATCAAGATGGAAGAAGAACAAGAAGAAATGGAAGGGGGGAAAGCCATGGGCGGGTTCTGTCGACACTCGCCTGAAATCCAAGCTCCTCACCCCTGCTGAAAGGCGAAGCAATCGTACAGCTTTCAAGGTTCGCACCAGTCACTTTCGCATAAAGAAGAGCGTACGTAATATCGTTTCCATCTTGGACAATAACCCTGGACAACCCTGGACAACCCCCGGCCTGCCACAAGAAGGGTGGCGGACTCCTTTCCAAGTCCAATACGCATGCACCCTGCTTTCGCACCGTAGTGCTCTGGCTTTTCTCCAATCTCCTTAACTGCGCAATTGCTCCAGGCCCGTGCACTACAGGGCTGTTATCCCGTCGGGTCAGTGCAGATCAAAGATAACCTTCTGTTGGCGGATGGATAGCAGAGAAAATAAGTACCTGCTATCAATCACACTACATAAATATTCGCTTTATCCATGAGCCCGGCCTCTTGCTGCGTACATGCTTCAGACTTGACAAAGGCTGGCAGCGTATAGTATATGCTGATAGTACACCATGCAAGAGATGCTTCGTCCTTGTCGAGAACACAGTACTGCTTCAGGACTAGCGGTCTTACAGGCAGAGAGCTGGTGTGATTATCAGCCTGACTGGGGTTGTTACTGGTCAGCACCGCCTTGTCTCTTACATAGTATATATCTTACAATCACCAAACTAGCTCTCTATAGCATTGGCTCCGAGTATACGAAGAGTGCAGATAGTGCGCATCTTTTTTTTAGAAAGGGTAGAAGCCAACCTCAACAGACACGTTATGTTAAAATGAATTACTTAAACCCCAGTTCCAATAGCAATTCGTTCCGAGTCCTATTCTAGCTAGCGCTTACACGATAGCCATACGACTATAGGTAACCGTCGTTATTTAACCAATAATAGCTGTGCGTATATTGAGCGACTCATCAGCAACAACCGCGATCCCTCCCCAACTCTCAGCAACAACCGCGATCCCTCCCCAACTCGCCTACAGCCAGGTTATAGCTGCTAGCTTGAATATCCATGCACACCAACAAGTATATAATCTCCTAACCATCTCTCGATTTCCTATGTTATTTCTTTACTAACAATCTATTCCAATCTACTACTACCTCGCTGAATTAACAACCTTATCAACAACATGCGTTTTACTCCTCTTATCCTCCTGGCGAGCGCGCTTAGTGCCGTTGCAGCTATGACCTCGCCCGCTGGCAATGCTCTCAAGGCTCGCTCCTCTAAACAGCTCCTCCATATGCTGGTCCGCAACCTTGATGAGGAGGAAGCTGTAGCTGTTATAGCGCGTTATAATGAGCTTTCGGAGCGGGAAGCCGACAACCACCTGGAGAGGCGGGGAGGAGCTAGGTGCCAAAGGTGCAATAGGGTTTTCCCTAATTCAGCAGCTTTGATTGCGCAGTACGTATACTTTTATTAAATCTGGGAAGAAATAGCTACTAACTTCTTATTAGTATGGCCTCAGCCCACTATGGAAACGGCGGCCTGTAGGTATTCTTCGAAGGGATTATAAAGGAGTGTTATTAGAAGGGATAAATATTCTCTATATACTTCTCCTTGGAGCCTAATACCCTTTCAATCTGGGGAAGGAGTTGCGTTTGCAGCGAACCAACCTCGATTTAAACTAATCGCGTTGAGATACGGATTAGAGGCGAGAGAAGAAGGAAAAAGAGAATAATCGCTCCAGACCGCTCTATCCCAATATATGATTTTGGATATAAGGACGCCTTGGGATAGGTTTTTATACCCTGGTTAGAATTAGCTTTAGTATTTTCCCTATCTTGATTTATAAATATAGAGGCGAAGTTATAGTTTATTAAATTAACTTTTATTAGTATTTTAAGATAAATCTATCTATAAATAAATATTTAAGGATCTTAGTATTAAATATCTTAGAGATTATTAGAAGGCTTTTTTAAAGTATATACTTATAAATAGATAGATTATAAGGTTATTAATTAAGTTACTATTCTAACTATAATAGTAAACTACTTATAAAGCTAGTTTTAGAATAGTTTTTACTAAGCAGACTACTCTATTACTAGCTTTTAGCTTATAACTACTAGTAGAGGTATTTAGTATACTAATATAGATAGTTTTTTATTTTCTTATTTAGTATAAATAGCTTTTTTAATTATAAGCTCTTTTATAACCTTCTATAAATATAAGAAATAAATATATATAATTCTAATTCCTTATATCTTTATTAAAAAGATATATTATATATATTAGTTTAGATATATATATACTTTATTATTTAGTTTCCTTACTATTTATATAATTACCCCTAGTAATAAGTAATTATAAGTATATACCCTATCTATATTATACTTTTATTTTATATTACTATCTTATTTCTCTTTTTCTCTTCTATATAACTACTTTAGTATTATATATATACCCTTTATAATAATCTTTATTATTTTATATTATAATTTTATAACTAACTATTTATAGAATAGTTATCTCTTCCTTCCTTATTTTATATATAGATTTATATATACTCTAAGATAAGATTTTAT